TTCTTCTTCTTCTTCTTCTTCTTCTTCTTCTTCTTCTTCTTCTTCTTCTTCTTCTTCTTCTTCTTCTTCTTCATAGCAATGTGTAGGCATAAGGTTATTGTGTAATTCAAGTACTGATTTCTGTACCCCCATATCTGGGTGCAATCCTTGTTCTGAGAATCTCCTGTCTCAATGCTGTTATGCAATTCTCCCTAATTGTCCTCGAATATGTCTATAAATCAGCTTACAACTAATTGCTGAGCAGGGAAGAGAATGGGGCTGGACTTTCTGCCAGCCAGAGGAGGAGGAGTTAGAGGAGGGAGTAGGGGATTCAGCCAAGGCAGAGGTCCAGGAGACGTGAGGAGACATTCAGCAGAGCAAGGAAAGCCATAAAGTACAAGTATCTCTGGGATTTATGCTGGGAGGAGGCCAGACTAGCTTAGAGGGTTAGAATTAGATTAAGACTACTCAGGATTGTGCTGTAAAGCTTGATAAATACATAATGTATCTGATTCTCTATTATTTGGGTGATAGTCTGGTTAAGAGAGAAACTGAGAAACAAACACAATTTTATAAAGATAACTTTAACAGCAGAACAAACAAAGCTCTGCTACAGGCCCAAGGACCTGGCATCACGTGACCATGAACGGGCTCCTCTGAAACTACTACAAAAGAAATCTCCCTTCCCTTCAATTATTTAAGTAATTATTTTGGTCATGTAACGTGAAAATAATCAAAGCAGCTAAAAATAAAACTGTCTGCTAAATGAAGGTTGAAGAGTGGCATCCATGAAATTTCTTAGGGTCCAATTATTCTCATAGCAGTTTACTTTCTGAGTCCTTAGTAGATTACTGTCGATAGCATAAAAAGCCATCATGCCTCTACTTTTGGGTTCTCCACTTTGAGTCCAATTTACCTGGGAACCTAGAGTAGAGTTCACACCTTCCTTTTTCTTTCTTTTCCGGGCTCTGCCATGAGAACTAGGCTCTGCCTCTTGTTAGACCCAACATGAACAAAACCACATCTTCTTGAGTGTTCCAGGGCAGCGCCTTACTCATTGTTTCCTCCATCCCCTGCTTCACTTGTTCGTGCTGAGAGAGATTTCACTTTGACTCTTGTTAACTGTTACTATTGGTCCTGCCTGTGCTTCTGACAGGTAAGATCTTCCAGTCCTCAATGATAACTGTCTGAGGGCTTCCCTGACTGTCAGGGAAGCCTAGCCTAGGTGCCCTTATATTGCTTTCTGCCTGTCTCGTGAGAAGTCTATCTTCTCTTGGCCCTCTACACTTTGCCTCTATTTATGTAAAACGTAATGATGTGTGTAAAACGCTGATGGCTCCTTCAGCACCCTTGTTGTCCAGCTATGTGGTGACATTGTGGAGCCAAGGAAGGCGATAAAAGCATCGTGGGTCCTGACAGGTTCTCCCACAGACAGAAAGAAGAAACAGCATCCTCGGGTCCACTTACACTCATGCTCAGGGGGCTATTTGGTGGCCTGACTGCTCCACCAGCTTCATTACCTTATACAAGTTATTTAAGCTTTCTGAGCATCAATGCCATCACCTATAAAACAGATACAGCTCTATTGATCTTTCAAAATGATTCTCAGATGAAATGTGGAATAATTATAAATTCCCGGGGAAGCAGTCAATATTTGGTAACTAATCTTCACCATGTGCAGAATTGCTCATAAGCAACTGGCCTCCTCCTTGGCTATCTCCTTTTCCCCATTCCTTCCAACTTACTCTTTAAAGCAGTTCCTGATCTGCTACCTAAGTAGAGGGTGAGACCTCTAACAAGCCAGGGTTTTCTCACTACAAGTCAGATTATCTCAACCGGCTGGTTGAAAAATGGGCCATGATCCTTTCGTTCTTTAATGGTAGGAAGAAAACCTCACCTGGAGTGTATTAGGGCATGTTCATGAAGTCTCAGTTCTTCCTAAAACTAATGGTTAAAGGCTGCTGCACAAACACATTAAGTGTGGATATAGAAGAGATTTTCCGTATAGCCCGATTTAGTTTAAAAGAGTTCCAGTTATAAGGTAACTTATAATTATAATTAATTAGAGGCTATTTAAATTTTTTTCTGAAACAGATCTTTCCCGCTGCCAACATTCTAGCAGTCAGTCTAGTACATGGCGAGTTATCACAGCCCTGAGATGCCGCATCCATTCACCAGGATGAATTTCTATTACAATTTCTGTTTATTCTTTGCTACTGATAAAAGAAAGGACTAATGGCCAGTGTGCATAGCTAGTGAATGTTAAAATCTTCAGCTGGAGGGCCAATCAATCAGTCCACTCAAATAGTGTATTAATCTCAGACGCTATCTTGCCTGAAATGCACTCATCCTGCTGAGAACTAGTTAACCGAGGCTCCCACAGGCTCCCTGCTACTCTGCTGACTTGTGCCAGCAGAGGCCTTTCCAGTGGGGTCTCACACCTGTGCACCTGGCTGGAGACACAAGATTGTGCCTAAGCGATGCTGGAAGCTCAGGCCGTCTCTGGACACGGTTTTGGTTCAGAGACTGCCTTCTGGACTAACTACTCAAGCCTGTGAAAGGACAGAGCTCAGAGCGTCTGAAGGAACAGCTCAAAAGTGGTTAGGATAAAACATTTCCGTAGGAAAGGATTAAACTTGGTTTATGTTTTGACTTTAAGTCTCTTGTTCTTTAAAACTTTCTACAATTGCCTTGTATGATAATTCCAGGGGATCTCTGACTGGATCTATGAGGAAATCATTCACTTTATAATTTAAAAATTTCCATATTAAAGAAGTCTTCACTCTGCCTCACTCATTTCCTTCCTGGTTGACCTTGGCAGCTGTTTTCACTTTCTCTTCTCTTCCTTCCCCATCTATAATCCTTTTGTAGGATTGAGATTTCCTCCCTCTTGCCCAACAGTTTGTATTCTGAAGATATGGTTCACCTGAATGGTTAAGATATTACTTGCTAAACCTTTCCTTAGATTTACAGGAGCCACAACATCTCAGGCTCTTTGTAATGTTCCCCAGACCCTAGTCTTTGGCTCTATGAACATTCATTATAATGCTCTAAAAAAAGACATACTATAAGTGACAAAGACCCCCTTTCAGTACTTTCCTGACCTATTACGTTCTCTCTCTAGACAAGCCTCCCTCTGGACCCTCAAAACCCTAAAATAGACTTTTGAGGATCTAAGTCCTCCATCTTATTCATGGCCAACTTTACATATGCCAGTTTCTTTCCCTCTTGAGTCTACATTAGCCTTCAGGTGGAGGACAGCCTTCACCTCGGTTCTAGTAACGCCTTCCTGTTCCGTATTAAATTCTGTCAGTATGTTAAAAAAAAATCTCCATTTCCTTAGAATTTAACCCAAACCATAAAGCATACGCCCTGGGGCAAGCAGACAGACAAAAGGGTATTTATATAGCTAAATAGTCACTGTTAGTGCAACCATTGGGGGACAGTAAAGCACACACATTGACAGAACTGTCACTTCCTTGGCTGACAGGTCAACATAGTCAGTAATGCTCAAAGCAGCTAAGTATGTGATTTACTATTGTTATTGTAATTTGTAAAGAAATTAATTAGCACTTCTTTAAAAACATGTACATAGTCCCATACTTGACAAACTGGTAAGTCCATATGGGTTCACACCACAATCTAAGAGCTCTCGAATAAAGCCAAATGGATGGAGAATAGTAAATGAGGACCCAATGGAAAGCCTGTTTGCAGAAATAATTGATATAAATTAATTCAGGTATGGATCTTTCATTCATAAGTTTGTTCAGCTGGGTTTTAGGGGGTAAAGGAGAGAAGGTTCCAGAGAAGTGAGATGCTAAGGGACTTGTCCTTCAGGCAGAGGTTTATTAATACCTGCTGCAAGACAGAGGGACCTTGAGACAGGGCCCAGGAGACAAACAAGGATTCTTCTTTTAAGTTTAGCAAGAGAAGGATGTGAAAGCAAGCTTAGCTAAGTCATGACTTAGGCCTGTTACAGCAACCGTGGTCACACCTCCTTCGTCCCACCCACTACCTGGCAAAGGTGGAGGAGCAAGGAGTATGTGACTTATGCTGTGTGACAGAAATCATCCTTCTCTGGGTGGAGGAAGGGGACTAGGTTAACTGTTGACAGTGAAACACAATAGTTCAGGCTGCCTGCAATCTTGGATGGCAGGAAAGCTGCTATGTATGTTCTTGTCACACCTCTATGTTTGTGGCCTAATTTCCTGGAAGTTCTGTTTCCCTATCAGTGTGACATGACAGTTTCATGACAATAGAATTTTGTCCTAAGTCAGGATAATATATAACTACACAGACACATACATGCTTCTACGCATGTGTCCAAGAAACAAGTGGAATTAGTTGGGGCTAGTTTATGTGGTATTTCTATTCTCCAGATAAGATTATTTAGATTAACATAATACATTAAAAAGAAAGGAAAAGTGCTTGGAGTAGTGATGAAATAGGAACCAAGCTTCCAGTGAAGAAGGCGTATCTATCTGTATCACTGCCC